CTAGCTACTTACGTAAGTCGATTCCAACCGCTGCGCTGTCTGGAGAAGAATTCTAGCGTCCGAATGCTCTAATCGTAAATTTACCGTGATTTCTCCGATCAATATGGAGTGAATGTCGTATAAGAACCCTAACAATCGGACCGCGGACAGCGCGCGATCTTTTCTTCCTCTTCCTTGTTTTATCCTCACCCTTACTTAAACTTACACTTACTGCACTACACTACCGCACAAGTCGGCGATCATTCGGGAGGTTAGAGCTTGTCCCGGCTGGGGTAGTGGCTGGCTGGTAAGAGATACCTGGTTGGGATAAGCTGATGTGTAGATCCTGCGGGGGAAGATCACCGCCACCTCTCGACATAAAACATGCTCTACACTTATGAGACGAATGACCGTAGAAGTTCAGGGAACACTAGTCAATTAATCAATCGAAATCGAAATGAATACTTTCCCAAACATCAATTAAGAAATTAAGCTGAGCGCAGCAAATGACAGACGTTTGTCAGCAAATATCATGCGACATTATTATTAGTAGGCATACCGATTAGAAGGTAAGATGACAACGATTAAGACAGAGAAGGAAAAGGGTTAATAGTAATTCATGAGTCTTATTACGTACGTTATTCTGTATATTGGCTTGTTGACGTGTATCAATGTTCAATAAATGAAGCATATGTTTAGTCTTATGTGAGGTTCAAAACCAATTAAAATGGAAATGTAGAGTCTATAGAAGGTGTTGTCAAGAATAATTGTGGAGGAGTGTGGACCGACTTTTTGAAAGCATTGCTGATTTGGCGAAATACTCTCCTACGGTGTATTAAATCAGCTCTAGTGCAAAGAACTACATCGAGAAGAACGTGCAATTTTCTGCATAATCAACTATTGAAGCCAGAAGCTATTATACAGATCAAAGAAGAAAGAAAAGTGACAATAACAAAATAAAAGTTTCAAAGTAACTGAAACGATTTAAGAGAAATAATAGAGAGATAAAAGTCTTGCTTAATTCATTGGAATAGCAATCTCCATAAAAATGTCTGTCGAGAAGAAGAGGGAGAAGTCGAGAAGACAATGGCAAAGACGAAGACGAAAAATAAAGCCTCTCCTTATTTCCTCAAAATAGTTAAACATATCTAAAAAAACACAACACTTTTTTGGAGGATTTCAGTTTTCTCGGGGTTGTGTTAAATATAAATAAGAAATACTGTCTAGCTATTCGCTCACAAGGAAGTGAGGAATTCACAGATTCGTGTGGAAATGTTCATAATTAAATAACTATTTAAATTAATGTTTCCTTACGGCACGGATTTTACTTACTTTTCAGGCACAAGAAGATAGAAGCGGAGGTACACACACAGACCAAAGCCAGAAAAATCAAGAAAGATTGCAGTAATTGCCTTCTTTTTTTCATTACTGTTAACTGTTACTATGAAACTAATCCATATTAAAGAGATTATTTCCCCAAATAATATCCAAAAATTGTATTCCATTTACAAATTACACTTGTTTTTCAAAAGCTTTCATGCAGAGAAGCGTTTTAATGCAAAATGAATTTTTTGTTTAATGTGTCCGTAAGATACGTTTGAACTTTTCTGTACCACCTATTGAATGATTTGATACGAATGAGTTGTTCAGTTCTGAGAAGCATACCAATTGAGACAAATTGCTTGATAGAACTCTAGAAATTGAAGCCTTGGGAAATATTAATTACTTGAGCATAAACTTCAAATATTAGCAAGCATTTCAAAGTATTGTACTCACCTCTGATGTTACTTTTACATCATATACTGCAACCAGATCCATTCTTTTGATATAGTTCTACAAGTGTGTAATGGTATCTATGGCATCTCTACTAATGAGCCTCAGTTCTCTATTACATCTGTTTCCTTTAACAAGATTCTGACATACATTGCATTAAAATTTCTAATATTTACTTAAGCTTCTGCAAAAATCGAGAGAATATTTTTATAATATATACCGTTTAAACACTTCAGACTAAATGCGTACCAGTAAAGGAAATGGCTCAAAAATTATGCAACGAAATTATTTTTACATAATCAATGTTGATGTCCGATACAATTGGTTTCAGACCATAATTGAAAATAATTTTATATTATTACGTGAAGCTATGATTAGCGATGATTATCGATAGCGATGATAAGCTATGATTAAACTTTTTAGAAACTGCATTTATGCATAGCAAAAATGTGTTCAGCAAAATCAAGTTCATGATTGAAGAAATGTGAGAAAATCTTTAACCAAACATGAAAACGCCTCAGTCGTAATGTGCAAGAATAAATTCGAATGCCATACGTTTTAAGAAAAATACGTTGTATATACGTATTTGGTGTTTGGGGTCGATTATTCGACACTGCAGCTAGCTATCGTTGTGACCCATGCGTGGGCCTAGTTTAATTCCCACCCTTAAGGTAAGAGAAAAACGTCGGACATGACGTATTCCCTTCATCGTAAGTTACACCGCCTGTCTGAGCTTTTCTTGGTCACGCAGATACAGAAACTACTAAAGAATTGAAAGGAAAGCTACAACTAAACTTTTGCTTCGGTCGGGAGTCAAACCTAGAACCACACGACGGGAAGCTAATATGCTGCCCATGAGCCATCCTACAGTCAAGAGAGAAAGTGCATTATATTACAAATATAATAATTGCGAATCACACAAATCTTCCGCAATAATCATCCATAATAACCAAACCATACTTCAACGTAACCAGTTTGAATATGGCTTTTGAACAGAAGACACATACTCAAGAAGGAAGTTCAATAATTAACCAAAACAAGACAACCCCAGTAGCGAAAAATAGCTCGCATCCTCTAGTCTCGACAAGCAGAGTAAACGCCCGAGTTCTCAACCGGGATGGGGGACAAAAGTCGCGTAGATCCCACCCCGCGTCGACGGAATCGGCTCCGTAAATCTCCGAGAGGAGTCGGGAGTGAATGCAAGACGAGCTACCACATGCGCAATGTGAAGAAAACACTTGTCGCTCTGATCAGATACTTACTCTTATGGCTCTCAGACTCTTACTCTTGGTTCTTTCAGATCTTTAAGGATTCAACCTTTCTTCGGAATTGCTTAGTTTGGGTACATTTTCTTACTGGACTTGACTCTTTTAATTATTACATATATATGACGGGATCAAAATATTGAAGGTAACGCGAAGGATTCTGGTATCTTTTAGAGCATGAATATTGAAATAAAATTTGCAGATCTTGTCCTTTCTACTAAATATTTCCTTTATTCAATATCATAGTGCAAATTGCTAACACCATATGACCAAGTTCATGTTTACTTACAATACCAACATTACCAATTATCTTAAATGCAATACAATGCTTCAAAAACATATTTAAATATAAGAAAATAATTTGAAAAATAATATATACAATTTCTCATTTTATATTACACTTCCGTGAGGAATAAAGCAGCTTCCTTACTTCTAATAATGTGGTATATTTACATACATTAACTTCCATTTTACATGTCGTTTTAATAAAATATATATTTCTGTACTATTTGTTGTTAAAAAATTCAACTTTAATATTACTGAATCTATATTTTCAAAACTAGTCACATTTTTTGACAAAATTTCTGGGTTCTTTGCAGAGAGTATTGAAGTGGCCATAAAGCTTCTGTTTTGCATAAAGTTGTTTTCAAAGTGAATTACCGCTTTATTTTTTCTGTCACTTCTATCCTAGTCAATGTAGTGTATGTAGCATGAAGTATCGAGAATCCGTTCCTTTATACGAACTAGTATAGCAGAGACTATGAGAGAAATTCTGCACAGCGCATACTACATCCTTAAAGTACGAACTACGGCAAAATTGACAGAAGTCGATACTGGAGTGTTCGCTCACACATTTTAACTGATCCCGCCCACCCATTCTTATTTTCTCACTTCACCCCCAATGATCTAATGTATTGGTCCCCAAAACCCTTTGGGTCCTATGGTTCTTACTTCAAATGTTTTTATGTTTGCAAAACCCAAACGTTATTCTTTACGATGGCTAATCTCGATATTCTCTATGTTCCATTTCTTTTAACTTCTATTCGGAAAGATTATCCATACAGTAGTAAGTTTGAAAGTATAAAAATGTTCTTTGTAGAAGGATAATTTAGTCTAGGAAAAATATTGTTCGACACGATTCTCAAGTTGACATTCTGCAGTGATTGCAAATCTTTCAATAGACGTGAACTAGTTGTATGTCCTTTCCACCATCATATACATTGGATATACTTTTTACTGGTTCTTTAACGATGAAAATAAATAAATTGTAAAAATTATTTTCTTACATCTTTACCCTGCCAATTTTTAAAAAAAATGTCTTTTTTATTGTAAATACTGTATTTTGGTATTTATCTCTCTTCCTCAATACTAGGTTTGAAATATTAATGCCATAAATGTCTTAAATCTCGAATAATATATCAATTTCTCTCTTTAAATGGCAAAAATTAATGCTGTATTGCTCATCCAATAAATAAAACGCAGCAAACAGTGCAAAAATTATATGAATGGCACGTCATACTTTAAAATTAATTCTACAGTAAAAAAGAATTTCTGTTGGTCCATCATTTGTAAGATGAATACTCCAGTCAATTGTATCTGATGTCTAATCAATATTGCAAGCAAAGTAAAGGTGAGAATATCAGTCAACCTCAACGTTGAAATTAGTTTAATCTTTGACACTTCAAACGTGTGTTGATGGTAAAGAAAAAATATCGAAATAATAAAAGACAAATATAATCTCAAAATCGCCTAATAGTGACACTAAACTACAAAAAACACCTAAAAATTTAAAAAGGGTTACAAAATAAACCATATTATTAACAAATCAAATACTATATAATTACGGTCATAATTACCATTTCTGTTAGCAATGTATACAATTCATCTGAAAAATAAAATCAAAACTTGGGCGCAGCTAATCATAACCAAAAAAAACATAATCTCTGAGTCAGAATACGATTTATTCATTCAAAGGCTTATATCCTATATATTGTTTTCTTTCTTCACCTCCCTGTGTTCAACACTTTGTTTTTGAACATCGCTAATCTCAGAAACGTCTTCGATTGTTACAGCTACTGAACATTCTTCCTTTTGAGTCAAACATGATATTTGATCTGGGCATTCTTCAGAATTAACTAAACCTTTATCACTCTGTTTATCGTCTTGCTTTTCCACATTTTTGGCTATCATTTGAATGGTCTCTTCCATATTTTTCAATTTCTTTTCCACTGCACTGAGTCTCACTTCCGCTCCCATGTAAATAGTCGTGACGCACGTCTCCAAATGGCTAAATCGCTGGTTGATGGTGAGCTTGATTCTTTCTTCCATGCGGTCGCAATATTTTTCCATTGTCGAGGCGTCTAATCTGTCCGGCAATGAGTCTATGGACACATTTCTACTATATTCATATCCTGTTGAACAAAATTTTTATTTGACATTTTTATTTGACTTTTAAAACATATTTAGCTTAAGTCTATTTTTTATGTCAAAGTGTAAGCATTGTATTAAAACTTGAAGACACCCAAACAATTAAATATTCTCACTGAATTTTGAATTTCATCACAGAAAAAAGCAAAATCTATACACAAGATAAAGAATATATGGATTGAAGAAGATTCATTATTCAACTAATTTGCATGCAATTAACTCTTTACATGTATTTCATTCGAGAAGAATAGTATACTCAAATATTCGGGAGTTTTTGAGAAAAATATTGTATGTAAAAATTAACTAATTATTTTGAATCATTCCCGAGTAATGGTGTGAATATTACTTCAACAGAATGTAAACTTAAGATTATAGAGTATTTTAATTTTCCAAAAGAAATTTAATTATTAAAAACAATTTCAACCGTGTATAAGTAGAAGTGCTCTGAAGTAAAAGGAGAAACTACTCAATATTGTACTGTATGTAATACTATTATTTTTGGCTGCTGATATATGCTTACCAAACATGCTGTGTGATATTCAAATAGTTCAATTCATGCCACCTAGTTTGTCCCCGGTTGTAATGTTTATGTGAATCGCTTAAACCAAAATGTTTTCTTAAGTACGTCTCGAAATCGTTTTTACGTGCGGGGTATCATATTTTACACCCAAACCCTTCATTGATTACACTAGTTCTTTAGAATGCTGCTATTGTATTTTCTCTTCTCTGATTAATTTATACGCGCAGTTGTATAAAAGCACCAGAATGAACATTTGATTATCAACGAACCATTTTTTGAAATGGTTCATAATTCATTAAAAAGGTAATGCTAATAATAAATAATGGTACAAGCTAATACAAATATAAACTAATATATAATTTAGTAATCAAATTAGAAACAAATACATTGAACTATTTATAAATTAAATAATCATTTCTTCTTATTTACGTTATATAATTATTACATTAATTGAAACAGGTGATGGATTGGGAGGGGGACGTTTAAGATCCTAATCCCAAAGCAATCGAATACTTATATACTCTTTTACAGTTTCGAAGATTATCATATATTTTTCCTTTTTGTGGAAGACAAACAATAACCTTTTGGATATTAAAATCCAATCAACGAATATTTTTTCTGATACTTACTGTTTTCTGGTCCGTTCGTATTAGAATCCGATCTGACCATAATGCTTCGATTCCAACCATTGTCGGAAGGTCGTTTGCTGTCACTGCAACCCATTACCCTGTCACTTGTATCGACCACGCTGTAACAGGAAAACACTTTATGACCACGACAACTTCCAAAATCACAATTTTCAAGAATGTTGTGGGCATTCAATTTTTAGCATTGATTCCAAAATGCGTGTTAAGCAAAAACTCATCATCTGCATTCGGTTCATCAAATCATGCATTTTAATGTAAAAAATGCATTAAATCACCATATGGTTTAATATTCCCAAAAAATACGTGCGCTAATATTTTCAAGACTTCTAAAGTAATATTGATAATCGACGGAAGAGGATAACTGAACTTAAAATCTATAAATATTACATTATTGAATTACACTGAAGAAACATCTATTGAGGACTAAAATTTTAATTATCGTTCTGATGATGATGAGATATAGTATCATTCGTTGAATTTGGAGGTTTCATGTAAAGGTTCAATTACACAGAATGAAGATTGAAATTTATGTATAATTATTTTCATCGGTAGTAACGTTGACATAGGTCGTCAAGAACGATCAGAGAGTTGATACATATATATTGCGATATGTAGAAATGTTTTCATATTTATTACCTTACACACTTCTCATTTCAATAATTTAAATTAGCTACAACAAAATAATTTCAATATTGTTCAAAATGAAGGTAATTATAATTTTTATGAATACTTTTCTATATTTTACACAAAATAGCAACCCGTAAAAAGCGCTAACACAAAAAGATTACACACACAAATTTTATATTCAGGTTCTGAGCATTGAACACGGCCCTAGAAGGAAAGAGAGCTGTTTAAAAGATTAACGATGATCATGAGTGGACATTAAAGCAATGCTAAATTATCAGTCTAAAAATATACATTTATTACATGATTATCTTATTTTTCAAGCAAACAATTTTCACATTTGCATTGTAACACAAACATCTTTTTAATCACAAACACACTGTCAAACATATATTTTCCAAACAAAACATAGAATTCAATTAAAATATCATTTCTTTATCTCTTTTCGAAATGTAAAAATAATATTCATATTTTAAGACTTGTCTGTTAAATGTTTTAGCGATTCAAATTTAAAAATGCAAATTATATTTAGTCCTGCCTGATGATAGGATAATATGTTGAAAGCAGACGATTTGATTATTTTTATTTCAAACGCAATTTAAAACTGATCACTATATTCATGTCATATTACTGTCGATATAATAATTATTTCAATTACTCACTGTCCACAATAAACAGAATTTTCATCAGCATAATGTCATTTCAAAGATTTCGATATTCCACTGTAAAACAAATTTTTCGTTTCTTACCTTTGTTATTAAAAATGTTCGATAAACCTCTAGAAGCGGCACACCTCAGTAACCAACATGAAAGGTTATTGTAGATATCTTGTTAAAACTTAATACATACATCACAGATTCCTCAAGCGATGTAAGAGACAACACGTACTTGAACACATCCTGTTCGGCTGTACAGTTCATCACCACTACCAACATTTCACCATTCGTACATCGTTACCCCACCCCTATGCTTTCTTTCTTCCTAAACTCCCCTCCACCCCAATCTCTCCGCTGTTTCCTCTCCCACCTCTTTTACTTCATGTTTACCCCCTCCACCGCGTTCGATGCGCCTATCCCTCACTATAATTAGTTCGTAGAACTAGATTTTGACGTATTAACATTTTTCAACGAATATTTAATTCATGGAAAGGAAATATAACTTAAGAGAGAAAAATAATTTAATGGAATTAAATACAAATTATTAAATATAATACGATTAAAATTACATTATTAATAATAGCAATAATAAATAAAATATTTAGAGGAATGTAAAGGATTGTTACTAAGAATGCGAAGAAGCTTCTCGAATTTAATTGAAAACTCCTAACTCTCAGAATGCAGTAACGAGGAGGGCTGAGAAACCTTTTAAGTAATAGACCTAGATCTGTCCGTTTCATTTTATTTTTGTACAATTCCCTTTGTTACTTAAAGCTCTATACTTATTGCAAACAATCTACATAAAAACTAATACGAGTATAAAAGACAATAGAGTTTTCTTTTCTCTATCGATTTTAATTCTCACCACCTCCATTGTCTCGAGCGTCGTTGGTGGCGCTCAATAGCGGTGACCGAGCAAAATATCGATTGCGTCCACAAGGTCAGTCTGCCTTGGACACGACAGGAAGGGGAAACGTAAGCATTTCAGTGGCAACTAACAAGGAATATGTGATCGACAGCCAGAAACATGTGTATTAGTAATGAAAGGAGCATATGAATGAATGGATATTGAAGGGTCTTATCTTCCAATATTATTAAATAACACTTGCATATATTTGCAAGTTCAATAATTGCAATAGAGAGGTTTGCAATAGGAAGATTTGCAACTTCTACACTTGCAAATGTCCCTTCATGTCTCTTCTAGATATAATTCGCCAAAGAAATATGACTATTTTATTGAATATATAGTGAAACCTCTCTCAAAGGCCGCCCCATTAAATGACCACCCCTCTCGATGAACGATTGTTCGTGGCATACTCTGTGGTTCGTGTATATATGGCATATATACTCTCTGGTTCGTGGTACGGACACAAACCTATATATTGAATATAAATTTTGCCCCCATTAACAAACCACCATTCTCTCTGACTACGACCTCGAAACGGCAATTTTCGTAATTTCCCAATTTTAAGAGACAGGAAAGTTGTAATTCAAAATGAATTTTCAAGTGAAAATGAAAATTGGCGACGTCAAAAGCATTCGCGCGGCGTATCCTGTGCCTCAGCTTCTCTCTCGAGAAAATCGTAGGGGTGGGGGATCTGGAAATCAAGCAACAATAAACCGTGGCAAGTGAAACGGTATCTTGGACGCTCGCTCCATTTCAATTTCATTTCTTTCAATGAGATGAATATGAAAGTGACCTAACGTACGTTGAATTCTTTAAATTAACCTTACCGTTTTGGAAGAATATCTGGTGCAGAAGAATATCAATGTCGTTCAAAATATTTTATTTTTTGTAAGCCCCCTATTAAGCAGCCACCCCTCTAAAAGACTAATTATTTTAACGGATCCAACAGTAGTCACACAATTGGTTAAATGTAGAAGACATCATCGACACAGAACCCGTAAGTGTGCTGCTACGGGATAGGGGATTACCCGCCAGAGGAGCATCAAACCGATTTAAGACGAAACATTTAGTGTGTTTCTTGTAAGGACAGAACATAAGGCTCCCGCACATGCAAACCACAACAAACTTTGCTCCGCAACATACAATAGGACGTTTTAGCGCCAGGCGAAAAGAGACATTCTTAAATTTTATCGATCATGTGACTAACGGATTTATACGTTCGTAAGGAACAAAGTTGAGAAGAAATGTAGCAATAGAACATTGCGTTTGGCATTGCAACGAAAGAAGCATTTAAACCGTTGAACAAAGAAGTTACGTAATACATCAAATAGTGGAGGGAAGTGGTGAGACATTTGAACCAGTGTGCGATTCCAGAGTAAAATAAATCTCCATTATGCAAGGAGTTTTAAATTTTCTGGCCCTGCGCGATGAGTATGCTGTCTGGGATATTGAATAAGCTTTTCTTGAAAATATAGGGAATATCTAATTACAGCGTTCGTAATGAGCAATAGACATGACACACGAAGATACGATTTCAACTTCTTTTTCGCGAACCTATCACCGTTCCAAAATTTTCCTTATTGCTTGCCAGAGCTGTGGAATTGGTAAGAATTCTCTAACTACTTCACATACGAGAATGTAAGGGATGTAAAAATACAATCTTAAAAGCATATTGTCCATTCTATATTATGTTCCACTGTATTAGTACATGAACTGTACATGAACATGAACAAAAATTGCACATGACCGTTTTTAAAGAGCTGAGGTTTTACAGCAGACATTGTCAGAGGCAAAAATCTCTATCTTCAATTTTGTAGTTTTGAAATGTTAACTTTTAGTAGTTTTCGGTAATATGGAGTGTTCCCCGAAAATGGGACTAGCACCATATTTTTACTTCAGTAGTCGCTTCGCTCCGCACTTCCTGGTTGGATCAACGAGGCTCCAATTTTTATTAATCCGGCGCGATTTATATAAAACAATCATAAGTATGAGCAAGTCCCAATTTCTAACGCACTTTTATGCCAAAATACTTCTCGCGAACACAGAAAGCGCCTCGTGCGTTCTCTCACTCGACGTGTGTGTGTATGTGTGTGTGGGGGGGGGTGTATGTGAGAGAGAGCATATTTTAATTTACGATGACCATTTCCGACGCAAAACGTGACCAAATACTCCTTCCTAAAGTAGTTTTTTTTTTAACGGATGTGAAGCTGAACATCTGTCCAAAGGGAAACCTACGAGAACAGGCAGGTCGTCATTGCGCTCTCCGCCACAGATAACTAAATGTGGGAAGAAAAGTAGTTAAGTTTTAATTCCTTTGGAACAAACTTAAGGAATGTCAAACTAGTGGTACTACAACAGCACGTACTTTCTCGCGATATTGCTAATAGCTATGTAATATAATATGACAAAATCTCTCACAACACTTCAATTACCATCTGAAAAATTCTTAAACAAACGAAGCGTGAACAATACACGTATTTTTTTTAATTCCAACGTTTAAACGAAAGCAACTTTTTGCCTTTGAATTCAGTGTTTCCACGTTCTACATACATGTACCCACGACGCGCGATGCGTATTTTAGCCGCAAATAAAATTATTAGCTTATATTAATGCGAACTATAATCAAACCAACATGGACCTATAGTATTGAATTGAGGGGTCTCTTCCAGTAAATTGAATCTAGAAATTCTAAAAAGATTCGAAGTTAAAACATTAATAAAACTATGCAAAGCGCCTTGGTACGTGACAACCAAGACGATATTCAGAGACCTCGATATCATCCCGCTAGAAGAAATTATCACCACGAAGAGCCAAGCTTACCAGAAGAGATTGTACGAGCACCCAAACTGCCTTTCAACAAACCTGCTAGACAACAGTGAACATGTATGTAGACTGAAACGAGAGAATATTTTAGATTTGCCATACCGATTACTTGAATAAAATTTTAAGTATCACAAAAATTTACGTCAGAAATGTGTTTATTAGACATCATTTACTTATTGTTCTAACAATAACAGATTGTAAATTATGCAGAAGTAAATAAAAAAATATTAACGAGAACGAACTGCGGTCGTCATTATCGCTTTCTGTTAACAATGAGGCGTTACAACACGACAATGACCGCTACTTCGTATGGGATACATTTTGCAAATCCGTACTGTTTAAACCGTTCAAAGGAAAATAGATACAAAAATAGAATAAAATGAATTAGTTATATTTGTCAAAAATATTCGGTTTTGCGCGCATTACTCTTCATTCCCACATCTTATTACGCAAAACAAAATCATCTATTCGTTTTCACATTTACACAATTAATGACAGTAATTTAAAATAGATTTTAAATCAATTATAAAATATGAATTTGTAAATATTTAACAAAATCTCGAATGTAAGAAACGAACAACGAAATATGAAATAATATATAAATTGTAACTTACGAAGCATCTAGCTGGATTTACGTGTATTACGTTCTTGAAGCCCAGTCAATTGGAAAAGGGCTATTATGTTTGTCATAAAATTACACAAAAAATATTCATATTTTCAAAAAATTCAACACGGTCTTATAATCAATTTGATGATATGTTATTTTTAAAACACATTTCATTAAGAAAATAAATTGTGTCTTTACAATTGTAGTTGTAGGAAGTCGCGGAATTTTTTTTAAATTTTCACAAAATCAGATATTTTAACGAACACGAGACCTGCACCATTGTCTGAAGCGTCCTTTATACTATCTAAGTTCCCAATTTAATAAAAAAGCACGGTTTTTAAGAAAAAAATTGTTTAAAGGAAAAAAGTATCGCCTAAATTTGACACAAAATATCGCAAAAATACTAATGTTTTATAGAAATTGAACACGATCTTATTTGATTATCTGTTTTTGATGAACACATTGTGTTAATAAATTAATGGTGCTACAGAATGGCACAGTCTTTCCCGTATTAGTTTTCTAATTCCTTTAGTCTTGGTTAGCTATTCGGACTTGGCCACATAATCGTGCCAGCTGCCCTTCGTCGTCGCCAAAACATTTTTTTTTCGTAATTTTTCGATTTCATATTAGTAGAACGAAATATTATTTCAAGAAAATTAGAGAGCAGTAAAATCACGTCCTGAATGGCAATTTCAACTTTTGAAATTTTCAAAAATTCAAAGTTAACATTGAAAATCTTACCTAATCCACTTTTGTGAGTGTATTTTATTCTATTCTTACAAGAATTTAAAGAAAACATTTGGAGTCATTTTTGAGAAAATTTTAAAAATGCCCATGCGGCTTCATGTAACGTACCTCCAAATATAAAAGAATGTTTTTCAAAATATCAAAGCTCGACTCGTGCGAGATCGACAAGGTTTTCTTCAA